AAAACAAGTTTTAAAGGATTCTAGAATAGATTGGTGCATATAAAATATTACTAAGTCTTTAGAAAAACATGATTATAATGCCAAAAATGGTTCACTAAGAACCAAATTTCAAAAAAGTTCATCCTGGTACATGCTGATTTGTTTCTTCTATACTAGATGCTCATCACAGGTTAGAACATATCCAAACTTCTAGGACCTTCCCAGACGCAATCCCTCTTTATTAAAGGAGGGGCATTCTCCACCTTCACCCTGAGTGGGTGAAGGATAGATTAGCAGCAGCCAGCATCTGGTCTAGAGCAACCAAGTAGCACCAGGGACACAGGTATACTGGGGAGGTGATGAGATTGGATTACACGTATTACGCAAGCTGAGCAGCTGTAATTGAATGGGATGCATAGACTTGAATTAATGGAAAACATACGACCATTGTGTTTAAAAGGACTGTGTAGGATAGCAGCTGGAGACACATGTAGGATTCATCGTACTCATTTTTTTGTTTCTATTCCTCTTTTTCTTCATCATTTTTTTGGTTGAAACCTTAGCCTATTCTCTTAACTAGAAGACTATCTGCCAGCCGAAAAGTCAATGAACTCACAAGAGACAAAAGACATTCTTAGTTTGATTGCTCCTAATAAGCTTCAGTGCTTCCAGACCACATAATGTCATAGAATTGTTTGTAATGCTTCTTTAAAAGGGCGACAGGGCTCAGAAATAAACTGCACATGGTAAGAGGAGCCTCCCACGGGTTATGCCTGAAAAGTGAGTGGCAAGGCTTTGGGAGCGGTGGTGGTTTCCGGCCATTAGCGTTACTAACCAAGGCCAGCTTAGCGTTTATGGGAATCTACTCAAATCAGGATGACACATGCTATGCTCACTCAAGCAACCCTGCCTGATTTCCTCAAGGTTATGCTGAAACAAACTTTATTCCAATTATCTTTGATTGGAATGTTTCATTATTTTTATATATCCTTGAGATAGAGAGAGTCCATGCAGTAGATGCATTAGGGCCATGGGTCATAAAACCATATTGAGTGCTTTGTGCCCGCGTAGAGCAATTACTGTCAACTGTCAATTAACCTGGTTATGGGAGGAAACATTAGAGTAAAAAATACAAATCCTAGAGATGCTACCCATGTCTTTCTTGCTGCCATAGCTGCAGATGAGGTGAGAGAGAGAGAGATCATGGGAGCACCAGAAAAAACTTAGGGTTGAGAGGTCTCCTAAGGAAAATTTGAGCAGAGGCGATAAATTCAGCTGCCACCATGCCCTCTATTTTTGCCCGCTGCCCTTCTGTCCGGCACCAGGAAGCAAAAATAAACATTGCTTTCCCCGCAAACTTCTGGCTGACAAACAAAAGGTATGGGGCAGAGAAAGGCAGCAGAGAGTGGCTGGGGAGGCACTCTGAGAGGTTGGCGGTCACCCGGCAGGCAGAGCCCACGGCCGGGAGGGACCGTAGGCACGTTCCGAGCAGCTCTGCACCTTCCTCCTTAGGAAGCCATGCCCAAGGCTCGGGGGATTTTGACTGTAACCAACATGGTGAAAGATGTTTAATTACAAATGTTATAATTAATCATTTGCTCATATGATAAACATTCTTACACTACAGATTCCTACGTGTGTAACTCTGTGTCCAGCAGGTCCTGGGCATTAGTGCTATTCCCATCTTTCTCACGTAAAAAAAAAAACCCTTCAGGCTGGGTACCTCCCTCCAGGCCAGGAGCCACAGCCACAGTGAACATGATGCCTCTTCAAATGATTCCTCACGGCATTGCTCCAGGAAAGGTTCACATTTTAATAAGGAAGAAAGATAAAACCTCAGTGGGATTCCAGGCCCCACTGAGCAGCTGGGGGCTCTGAGGGGAGATACAAAAGGGGCAGGAGACAGGTCTAAGGTCACAGCAAAGAAAGAGAGCTAGGAAATGGTCCTGGGGAAAGGAAGGCAAAAGAAACGATAAAATTATAGGTTTTGATGAAGAAAATATTTTATGTTTATTAAAAAAGAGACAATAGATCCAAAATGAAGTCACTTGTGCTAGGCCCCAGGTCAGCAAACCACGATTTAACACTTAGGCTAGCTGTAGTTTCCACTTGCCAGGAATGTAACTTTTAACCAGTTAATGTGAAATGACTTGGTCGACATTAAAGAGATAACCCAGCCTATAAGCTCCTTCTGTTCCCCTTAGGAGGGCAGCCTGGCCTGAAACAACACATTCTTTGCAAATAATTTCTTTTTCTGACCCCTTTATGCCTTTCAAAAACCTTTCTTTTTCTATAGTTCTGTGGAGCTCCTTTCTGTTTGCTAGAGAGGATGCTGCCCAATTCACGAATCACTGAATAAAGCCAATTTGATCCCTAACATCACCAGGTTAATTTTTGTTATTTAACAGGTTAAAATGTGAATAAAAAGCTAAGTTCATATCCTCTGTTAATACAATTTGGCAATAAAATTAATGGGGCCTAGGAAGAAGCCATTTGCCAGTGTTTGCCTCAAAATGAATTTGTGTGTGTTAGAGTGAGAAATCTGGTAGAAATTGGATAAATACGTATAAAAAGTCAAATGAAAGAGTAAGCGAGAAACAGTGGAAAACATACAGAGATTTCTGGAGATTACTGGCCAGGATTCCTCTTAATATTTAAGGTGGGGCGTGGGGAGAAAGAGAGGAAGGGAGAAAGGGAGGGAGCGAAGAAAAAAAATGTAACACAGAAAGCTAAGCATAGTGACTGCAAAATGGTAAGTGACTCATAAAAACAGGGAAGATGATGAAAAATGTAAATATTGACTATAAAATGTCAGGGGGCAAGAAAAAATTGAGTGAAAGAAATCAGTGAAGCTGCACCTCTCTGAGGGATTATTTGTCTGTCAATCTTTCTATGATGCTAATCAGGTAGGAAAGGTGCATACATATGTAATGAAGATGTGATGTTACAACTTCTGGTTTAAAAAGGGGAGAGATATTAAAGGTATTGTTGTTTGTCCCTCTTTCAAGACACAAAGAAAACAACAAAAATGGTGAAACATGCGGGGAAATATCAGATGTAATCAAGTAAGGAATCAAACAAAAAGTCCCTCATTCTTTTTACAAACCAAGAAGTATACAGGGAATAAATACCTGTACTTGACAAATATCTCAAGTCTCAAGCAGATGCAAAAAGTTTCTGGCCAAAGTAACATTCAAACGGCTACAGAGCATATGCAATGAGCCTCTGATGAGAGTGACGAGACTCACAATCTAAGTCCTAGAGGCACAGCTTGACATCACATAACAGAAGGAGAGGCAGAGCTAATCAAAAACATGTTAATATTGCATTCCTATTTACTTTGGTATTGTGTTACTATTGTATTCCTCCTAGCCAGGGAAGAATTCCAGAGGCAATGACATGTCTATAGAAATACCAAGGGAGTGAGGGATAAAAAGAAGCAAAAAAGCATTCGGACTTAAGTAACTCTTTTATGCAGGAAGTATATGTTTTTATACCTTATGCCAATGGCAATTTTCTCTTAGATGGCTATTTTGATAGAAAGCATTAGAATTTTATAAGGCAAGTCCAAAGAAGGAAATATTAAATAATACATAAAACATGGAACTCTGTTATGTTAAGCAATAGAATTTGAGTGATTTGCTAGATAGCTTCGATCTGAGCACCCGTTTCGGTTTTCAGGGGGTAGGAATGAGAAGAGGAGTGTGACCAGATTACAATAAACCTCCTGCATTGTTAAGAGCTAAGGGCTCTTTTCTCTAGGGACATACAACTCAATCCCTAAAAGAAGCAATTCAGTGATAGTCTGGGCGCTTACTACTGTATTTTGCCAAGTATCATGTGCACATTTTGCCTAAATTTTTGAGGGAAAAATAAGGATGTCCGTTATTTCAGGTACATGGGGTAGTACCTGGAATACCTTGTATCTGTTCTTGTATTTATTACACAAAATTTCTTATATCATGATATGTTCAAAAACAAATGCTGAAGTTCCTTTATAATACAAAAAGCAGGTACCTAAATATAAATAAATAAACAATTGAATTCAAAAATTAAAGTGAAAGGTATTTCTCCTGATAGTGTGGGTGCCCATTAAACATGGCAAAAATTAGTCTTAGAACAAGCATGTTGACCTTCCACCAGCTATAGATCTGGAAAATATGAACATGAGCCATCGGGAGGATTTGAAAACAACTTTTGACTCTTGCTGCATTGGGCCTTGGATGTGGGGCATGTAGCCTAGTTCACTTGGGTGTCTGTTATTCTCAGAAATCAGCTGTCAAATGAAAGATCTGAATTTGAGTTAGGCAATATACTCTAACTTGCACTCACAATTTGAGATTTATGAGTTCTCTCATCTCCTGGCTACACACAGGTAAAAAAAAAAATCTATAGAATCTCATAGGTCCCTGGTCCTTTAAAGAAATATGGTTTATGTTTCAGACAGACCTAAACATTAAACAACATTTACTTAAGAGATACTGGCTAGTGGCACAATTGGGTAACTGTAGAAACATAAATTAATGCTGATCTCACCCCTCTCAAGTTCAAAAACACTAGGATGATCATAGACCCAAGAGCCATACATTTCAAGTTTGGGCAGTTTAGGAAACTGTTGAATTGTGCCCCCTCCCCACCACCCCCACCCCTAATTTTTATGTTGAAGTCCTAATCTCATAGTACCTCAGACTATATTTAGAGGTAGGGCCTTTAAAAAGGAAATTAAGGTTAAATGAGGTCACTGAGGGGGGGCGGGGGCACTTATCCAATATGTGCCTGTAGAGGCCACTTATAAGCCAAGGAGAGAGGCCTCAGAGAAATCAAGCCTTGATCTCAGAGTGCTAGCCTCCAGAACTGCAAGAAAATAAATTTCTGTTGTTTAAGCCACCAGTCTGTGGTGCTGTGTGATGGCAGTTAGAGCAAACTCATCTTGTAACCTCCTATTACGAGTCTTTTCTCTCAGAAGTCTGAAATAAGACCCAAGTTTCTTTGTGCCTAAATGCATTCTACATCATACTCACAATCCCAACAGGAAAGGCCAACACAGCTAACATCCAGTCCCGAAGAGAGATGAGCTTCCTGAGCTGTCTCTCCTGTTCTTGGTTCCCACTTCCTCTAGTCAGAAGACTAGAAAGGTCAGTCAGCACGCAGATGCCAAAAAAGACAGCCTGGATTACCTGGAGGGAGACAACAGCTGGTATTAGTCCATGCCCTACAGAGGCCCAAGCAGTACGACAGCAAATCAGCTACATGTTTACAACACAATTCACGATACGAGAAGATCAGGAGCACATTTAAAGAGCTGGCCATAAACATAAAACAAGGAGGAAGATAGGTGAGAAAATTCCTCTTAAGAACATTACTCCCATTTTTGCTCCCCTAACGACAAAGGCATGCACACACATGGTTCAGCAGAAAGGAACATCAATCCTCAAAATGCCATGCCTGTTATTTTAAAAAAATCACATGTGTGGTCTAGTCATATTGACTGGTGGAGTTTAACAAACATTTAAGATGTGCAAAGAGGAGGATCAGGGTAGTCCGAATAATAAATGAGGCAATTTAGTCTGAATGTGAAGGAACCTTTTTATCCTTTAATCTGTTAGATTTAGAAACTTTTACCAAAGGAAGCAGTAGAAAATGTCTAGCCCATGAGTCACAGAGAAATCAACTGAATGCAGTAATCAAGACTGACATGGAACAAACTGTTGTCATGCTGGAACTAAATGAACTCCTCAGGTTTTCGGTGATTATGAACCAAAATCTTTACAAAGCATTGTAAACTTAGATGAGCTAGTTTTTTCACACCATTTTCCCAAAATAAAGTGACGAAATGCACATTCCCAAATCGATTACAAGTTGAATTCCTTACCTTAGCTCTGCTTTGCTTGGACTATCACAGAGAGAAGCACTGAAATGCTACAGCCCAATTATGTGTGAAATTCTTAAAGAGGGGGTAAAGCGCTGATGATCCGGGGCTATGAGTGGCGGTGGGCAGCGTACTTACTGTCATATAGCTTGGCAAACGATCATTAAAATTATGGGAAGGACAGAAAAAATATTCCCTGGGCTCAAAATCACGCCCATTTAGCACCAAGAAGAGATTCAGGGGAATTATTCTGGTTTCTTTTACCAGAAATAATTTTCTGAAGATGTATTTATTTGTAAAAGATAGAATTTTACTCATTACCTGTGTAGAAAACAATTTTTTTCTTGGCAAATTTCCATGCTGGCAGTGGAGAGAATCTGGGAAAGCTCTGTGGTTGGCTTCCCCACTGAGGCACAGAACAAAGCGAAGAAGGAGCCTGAAAATGCCCTGGTTCTACCCCTGAGCATAGCACTGGCATACTTGTGCTGTTATTTGTTTTGTTCAAACTCTTACAAAAGCCACTTTGAAAGTTCCCCATAACAAAGTCTCCATCATTGCACTTAGTTAAATAAACAAAAATCCTGCAATATGTTTATATATAATACACTGGGCTCTTTGGAGCTACCAAATCTTGCTGTTATTAGCCAGCCTTAGCCAGAGTATGTTATATTCTTCCTAATAACTTAGCCTCTCTTTTAGCTTCAGTGACTTGGGTTTATTGGTTTTCTTTCTAGAACCAGAAAAACCAGAATAGGAGAAGCTAAGACTTCTGAAACTGAGCATGGGACAACTGAACAGCTGGCAAGAATTATGTTGTGAAGACCAGAAATAATTTAAATGACTCAGGGAATAATTTTATACTTGGGAACATTTTCCATAGCATATTGTATGACTTTAGGTGTTAGGTCTTTAGGTCAACCCTAGTAGAACTTGAGAAACTGAAGTGGCCATATTCAGGAATATCACACTAATTTGGCCAGAGACCCTATTAAAAGGTTTTCTGCCAAATCAATAATCAGGGAAATGTAAATTTAGATCACAATAAGATTGCATGTCTCATCTATGTAATTATTCATAGTTTAATTCTGATAGTACCAAGGGCTATAAGGATGTGAAACAACTAAAAACCTTATGGTAGGAATGCAAATTAGGACAATCACCTAGAAAAACACTTGGCAATATTTAATAATTTAAAGATGCATATAATCTATTATGTACTGACTTTGCTATGAAGGGTATTCCTTAAAGAAACTCTCCTATACTCGTAGGGGTACTAGTCACATCTATATGAAAGTTAGTTTTAACGGTCATTGCTTTAAACTAGCTGAAGCAATCTAAATGTCTCCCAATAGGTGACTGGATAAATAAATTGTGCTGTATATATTCTTACGATGGAATTCTAAGCACTTGTCAATTTTTCATTCTCACAACAAAACATTAAACAAAAAAGGAAACCAGAAAAAAGCTTCATTTTGAAAGCAAAATAAATTTCAAAAAGTGCAAAGATAATTTTAAGAATTCATGTCTATGAAACAAAATATGAAGAAATGCACGGGAATTAATAACACTGAATTTAGGTTTGAAGATGAAGAGGAGAAATTAGGGAAAGAACATATGGGCCTCAATTTTATTAATGATATTTTATTTCTTAAGTTGATTATGAGGTATATTGAAGTTTATTATATTATTCTCTATATAATTCATTACTATAAAATATGTCCACATAACTTAAAAGGTAAGAAATACCTTTTGGTGTTTATACTTTTGGGATATAGTTGGTTGGTCTCTTTTAATTCCTTTCCTTCCAACTCAGTTACTACTCCTTTTTAAGCCTGGCTAATGACAGTAGGATTTAGTGAGCTGCAAACTGAGTCAAGTGAGTGAATTTTAAAATTCCATGATCAAGTAACTAGCACCAGATTTGCATTTTCACCATAAATAACTAGATATTGGAATTAAATATATAATCAATGTTTTCATATTTTGGACTTTCCTTCTGCAATCAGCCAGAGAAATCTCTTATTTTTCTAATGGGGTCATCTAATGAAGTCAGGTACACCTTGGAATTCTCTCTCTTTCTCTCTCTCTCTTTTTGCCAGATAAAGTAATATAATGACAGGAGTGATTATATTCCCAGGATCTTCCAAAACCCAGTGGAAGGGGACTATATAAGGGTTAGTATCACTGAGGGTCATTTGAGAATTCTACCTACCACAAGCTGTAGGTTAAACAATTTTCAGAATTCACTTGGAATGGAGAGTTATTCAAGTTCTGGCCAATCAAACAGAGAGGCCTTATTGACTACCACAGGTATTCAGTAGAAACCTAAGAAGTTTTATACCTAAATATTGGTGCTAAAGTAGCCTTGCATTAGAAGAAAAAAGAAACCAACAGAATCAAGAGGAAAGGAGGGGAGGCAGGGAAAGGGAAGGGAAGGGTCAAGAAACATGTATAAAGGACCCATGGACAAAGCCAAAATGGGAAAGGATTGAGGGAGGGAGGTGGGGGAGGGGGGCAGGGGAAAGTGCTGGCAGGAAGGTGGAGACAAATATATTTGAACAATAAAAAAAATAAATTAAAAAAATAAAATAAAATAAAATATTTTTATTTTACAAAAATAAATAAAGGCTCCTCTAGACCCACTTCAACAATACCTAAAAACAAACCTCTGCGGTATCAAGCTGATCTATAAGTAACTTAAATGCCTGCAAACACAAAATGCTACAATATTTAAAAGAGGATAATTATTCAACAATACCCAACATTATAATAGCCAATATACACTAAAAAATTATTAGACATGCCAGGAAATAGAAAATCCTTAACCAGGAGAAAACCCATTCAATAAAAACAGATAAATGACAGACCTATTGTAATTGGCAGACAAGAACATTAAACAACTAAATTAAATAACTTCAGGAAGTTAAATGAAAATAAAGAAATAAAAGATATTTTTAAAAAACCCAAATAAAACCTTTAAAAATTAAAAAGACATTATCTAAAATAAAAGTCACCGGATAGAAATAGTAGCATATTAGACACTGCAGAAGGGAAGAATAAAAAACTGAATAGACAGAAACAGAAACTATCCAAAATGAATCAGAGAAACGAAAGTTTAAATTAAAGAACATCCGTGTACTGTCAGAATGTCAAGCAGTCTAATAATATGTGTGCTAAAGTCCTAAAGTAGAAGGGGGGTGGGTCATGTAGAAAAAGCATTTTAAGAAATAATGACTGAAGTTTTTCCAAATTTCAAGAAAAATTTACACCCATAGATTCAAGAAGCTAAACAATGGAATATATACACAGAAAACCACATAAGGAATACTACAAGTCAAATAATGAAAATCTGTGATGAGATATTAAACAATACTAGAAGAGATATATCATATACAGAAAAATAAAGATAAGAAACATACAGACTTTTCATGTAAAACAACACAAGCCAGAAAACTTTGATATCTTTAAAGTCCTCTACTCGGGGAAGAGTGTCAAAGATGCAAGGCCTTTTCAGACAAAAGAAGCTGAGAGGATTCAGGGTCAGTAGACTTTCACTATAAAATAATATTAAAGGAATGGAGAATAGGACACTAGACATAACTTTAAATCTATTCAAAGTCATGACAATTGCTAAAAATAGTAAATATGTGGATAAATATGACAGATCTAACCTCTATTTTATTTTTTTAAAGATAATTGACTAAAGCAAAAATACAATGATATATTGTGAGGTTTTAAACATATTTAGAAATAAAATTATGGCAACAATAGCACAAAGGAGGGAGGAATGAAATATAAACTGCTTTTAAGTTCATAGTTATATATAGTGATATGCCATTATTTGGAAGTGGACAGCGGTAAGTTAAAGACATATACTGTGAACTCCACAGCAACCACTAAAAGAATAAAGTGAAGATCTTTAGCAAGTGTGTTCATTGTCTCTGCTGCATAACAAATTACTACAAACTTAGCGGTTGAAAGCACCAATTTATTAGCTCACAGTTCTGTAGGTCAGAAGCCCAGGTGGGTTATTCTGGCTTCGATGCTCAGGGAACTATAACACCAAAATCAAAGTGGTCCCCACACAGGGTTCTTATCTCGAGGCTTCATTAAAGGTTTACCTTTAAGCCTAAGCAAAAAGCATTGAAAATATAAAGTTACAGATTTGTTAGAAGTGTATATATGCAAACACTAAACATAAGTTGGAATAGTTATATTAATATCAAAAGTAAGTTTCAAGATAAGAAATGTTACCAAAAATAAAGAGCAGCGCTCCATAATGATAAAGGGTCAACTCATTAAAATGGC